CTCCGGAGGCACCCAGCTCGAGCTGGCACCTGGGAGTTCATCACAGAGGAATTGGAGCCAGTGGGATCCCAGGGTCGGACCCTGCGATGGTGTAAAACCCCAACAGTGGCTGGATGCCCGTCCCCATCCTCATCCCTGGGTGCTCATCCCCACTGCAGGGACCTGGGGTGCCCGTCTCCATCCCTGGGATGCTGGATGCCTGTCCTCATCCCTGGGTGCTTGTCCCCATTGTAGGGATGCTGGGTGTCTGTCCCCCTCCTTGGGTGCTTCTCCCCATCCCTGGGATGCTGGATGCCTGTCCTCATCCCTGGGTGCTTGTCCCCATTGTAGGGATGCTGGGTGTCTGTCCCCATCCTTGGGTGCTTCTCCCCATCCCTGGGATGCTGGATGCCTGTCCTCATCCCTGGGTGCCCGTTCCCCTCCCCAGCAACCTTGGGTGCCTGTCCCCATCCCTGGGATGCTGGATGCCCGTCCTCATCCCTGGGTGCCTGTCCCCATCCCTGGGATGCTGGATGCCCGTCCTCATCCCTGGGTGCCTGTCCCCATCCCTGGGATGCTGGATGCCCGTCCTCATCCCTGGGTGCCTGTCCCCATCCCTGGGATGCTGGATGCCCGTCCTCATCCCTGGGTGCCTGTCCCCATCCCTGGGATGCTGGATGCCCGTCCTCATCCCTGGGTGCCTGTCCCCATCCCTGGGATGCTGGATGCCCGTCCTCATCCCTGGGTACCCATCCCCATCCCCATCCCTGAGTGCCCATTCCCGTGGCAAAGCCCCCACTCACCTCCCTTTTCTTCTTGGCCTTGACGTCCTCCCCGCCGGCAGGCAGCCCTTTCCTCTTGGCGCCCTCCGCCTTCTCCCGCGGTTTGTTCCCGTCGCCTTCCTTCATCTTCTTATATTTTCTCATAAACTCCGAGATCAACTCCGGGCAATCCAGGTTCTTCTCTGGCTCCCAAGTATTGTGTTCCCTGTCCCCAAACAACCGTCACCATCCCCGTCCCCATCCCCATCCCCATCCCCGGCGGTACTTACTCGGAGAAGCCCTTCCACTTGAGCAGGTACTCGGCCTGGCCCTTCACCACGCGCCGGTCCAGCACCTTCTCCACCACATACTCCTCCTCGTCTCCCGAGGACGAGCTGTCGGCTGGCCGCTTGCTCCTCTTGCCCATAGCGCAGCGCCCACGGGTCCTGGGGGGGCAAAGGCGGGGGTTACAGGGACACTCCTACCACCCATTGCCCCCCAAACCCCTCCAACAAGAGCTGGCGCCTCCCACCGCCATTGGCGTTAAAACCCCGAAAAACAGTGGGGATTTAGGCACAAGGAAACGTAATTTGGGTTAAAACCCTGAAAAACGGTGGGGATTTAGGCACAAGGAAACGTAATTTGGGTTAAAACCCTGAAAATCGGTGGGGATTTAGGCACAAGAAAATGTAATTTGGGTTAAAACCCTGAAAAACGGTGGGGATTTAGGCACAAGGAAACGTAATTTGGGTTAAAACCCTGAAAAACAATGGGGATTTAGTCACGGAAACATAATTTGGGCTAAAAAAACCCCAAAACCAGTGGGGACTGAAGCATGGGGAAACACTTTGGTGAAGAAGTCTCATTTTCCACCGATTTATGACACGGCAATGGAAATCTCACCCCTTTTTTAGGGTGAATTAAAAAGGGGTGAGGGAAAAAAAAAAAAGAAGGGGCAACCCCGCACCCCCCCAACCATTTTGGGGTGAGTTTGCTGCTTAAGAGCAAAGCCAAACGGGTTTAAATCCCCTTTTTTTTTCTAAATAAACAGGTTTTAAGGCAGGCAGCCAAAATGTGGGTTTTTTTCAGTCTCGGCTTTAGCGTTCTTTTATAAAATTGAGCCCTAAAAAGCTCGTCAGAGCCAGGAAACTCCTCCCCGTCTCCCGGGTGGCATTTCCTGATGGGGCCCGACTGGACACCGTGATTTACCGGCGGTGGGTTTGGGTGTAAAAGGAGAGATTTTGGGTGTAAAAGGGATGGATGGATTTGGAAGGAAAAGGCGCGGTTTTGAGTGTAAAACAGGCGGGTTCGGGTGTAAAAGGCCGGGAAACGGAGCGTCACATCCCTAAAGCCGCTTGTGGGAGTCCTGGAGGAACAAAAGAAAAGCGCCGTTTTGAGACAAAAAGCTCCAGTTTGAGGCAAAAGGCGCCGTTTGGAGGCAAGGACCGCCGGTTTGAGGCACAAAAGCGCCGGGCTGGTTCGCGCGGAGTCGTGCCGGCTCTCCCGCCCGCTGGTGCCGGGGCC